AAATAGGCTTGCAGAGAAAAATTCATCAAGTTTTGGGAGTTTCATTCAGGAGTAAAAGATTATTGATAGATAAAAGATAAATTGATATTTAGATTTTTAAGATTTTTGCAATCCAAATCAATTCAAACCAATCCATTAAACCCGTCCTTGCTCTTTAAGAATTTAGTTCATATATATATATATATATATATATATATATATATATATATATATATATATATATATATATATATATATATATATATATATATATATATATATATATATATGACCTAAAGTTGACCTAAAGTTTATCAGACTCATCTTTCCTTTTTCTTTTTTATCAGCATGTGCACTTATATTCAAAAGAACTGCTACTTACTTCTGCAGAACTTTTTCAAGAGCTGCAGGAGGTATATCACAAACAAATGCTGCAAAAGCAACACTACCACTATAAATATTTTTAGGAATTGTGAATTTTACTAATTTTACAAAATTTCTTTCTCTTTGTCCAGTTACTAGGTTCAAAGTCTGAATTTTTTAATATTTCAGACCTCTTCATTTACACTTATTTCTAGTTCTAAGTTTTAGCTTTAGCTTTTATAGTATTTTGGTTTCTTTGAATTTTTTTTTCTAATACTCTTTTTAGACATTCTAATATATTTTTTATTCTTATTTCCAAAGATAAACTTTTTATGGCTTTTCTGATCATCCAAAAACTTTAAATTTTCAATTTAGTTTTATCTAATTTTATTTTTTCCATCATTATGATATCTCTAAAATTTGGTGTATAAAACAAGAACACTTCTTTCATGTTCTGTAATAAAATTTTTCTTTTTAAATCTGTGAATTGTACAGCAATTTATTTGAGTGAAATAAAAAATCAACTGATAATGCTAGTTTAGCATTTATTCTCCAATGAGAAAAAAACAATTCTTGACCTAAGATCTTTTTCTTCCTCTGTTTTTTATTTCTTTACTGTATATCATAAACCTGCATAATGTATTAAAAAAAAAAAATAAACAAAACAAATGTACCTTAAAAAAAAAAAAAAAAAAGAATTTATTAGACAAAGTAGAAAAAGAACAATTTTTCTAAGTTTCTGAGGATTAGGAATCCTGTGCATCAGAAAAAGTGCTCTTTCTTTGATGTCAGTTAAGCTTTGAAGTGGACTCAAAATTGGCTTGTGAAATTTAATATTTCTAAATGCATGGTTATGCACTTTGACTGGAATAAGAAAAGTTACCCCTTAATACTAATAAAAAAAGTTATGTATAACAGAATGAAAATTGATCTTGGAATAATCTTCTCAAGCAATCTGAAACAGAAAAGTCATATAATTAAGTAAGTAGGCAAAACCAACTAAATGTTGGGTCAGATTAGAAAATACTTTATTTGTTTTGATATAAGACTCCTGACTTTATGTTTCTTTTGTGCAACCACTGTCAGTTTTTAGTATTGGTCACTAATTTGATAGGGTGAAATTGATTTATTAAAAGATATATATATATATATATATATATATATATATATATATATATATATATATATAAATATATAATATATATATATATATATATATATATATATATATAAATATATATATATATATGTATGTATGTATGTATATATATATATTAGGGTGGGTCAAAAAATTTTTTTTGTTACAGGCTCTAAACATTGCTAATAGTAAGTAATATTGATACTATCAAATATGAGAATGATTGTGATAGATTTAGAGGGCGCAAGTTTATTGGGAAAATTACCAGTACCCTAATATTTTAGAGAAATAAAGTTTTTCAAAAGTAGGTCAACCTGGAACTCAAAAGAAGCGAAACTTTATAAAAAATTCGAAAATAATAATTGTTTTATCAAAATCATATTGTCAAAAAAAAAAATTGTTATTAAAAAACATGTAAAATTGCATCTTTTTCACTTTTAGTTAAAAAATTATAGTTATTATGCAATAAAATCTAAAATGATAATTTTTATATATAAAAATTATTATTTTTGAAATTTTTATAAAGTTTCGCTTTATTTGAGTACCTACATCACATAATTTTAAAAAACTTTTTTTTGAATTATAATTGGGCCTACTAATTTTTGTAATTATTGTTGCGGGTGGAAGACATTGTTCAATCCATAAAAGTAAATACTTTCCTAAATTAGTACATAAAAAAGCAACTTTCTAGACCATTGCCAGGTTAGCAACTCTAAAAAAAAAATTTATGACCCACCCTAATATATATATATATATATATATATATATATATATATATATATATATATATATATATATATATATATATATATATATATATATATATATATATATATATATATACATATATATATATATATATATATATATATATATATATATATATATATATATATATATATATATATATATATACATATATATATAAATATATAAATAAATATATATATATATATATATATATATATATATAATATATATATATATAAAATATATAAATATATATATATATAAATATAT